GGGATGGCTGTACATCGCAGTTGCAGTTGTGTATGTTCCATTAGATGTGGTACAAAGAGTGCCGATGATTAATCGTACACTTTCCCAAACTAGAATTATTGTAACTATTTCGGGATTCAAAACATTAAATAACAAAAGCTCTCTCAGTTGTAACAAATAAAAGTGTCCATTTGATTAAAACTGATGAAAATTATTCTTACATTAAAAGTTTCAAGTCCGTAGAGTAACTCCATGTTGAGTTAAAATCGAGATAAAAAGAACTTAAATTAGTAAGCTAACTAATATCCGGTCACTCTGCCAAGTGAAACTTTAATCTCATCCAAATCAAGAGGTCCTGCAACAAATTCCATGCTATGGAAAATATGGTATGCTATAAAAGGTACCCAAACTCATGTTACACATTACCTAGATCATTGGAATTAATGGGACTATTCCCACTTCTTCGGCAAAATTTACTCCGAGGAAATTCCTTCTAGATAAATTGTCTAGGTTTATACACGGCATTAACAATATAATTGATTATAACTTGCACTAATACAACCAATCGTTTGCTGCTTTTCTTCAACGAAAACCAATTTCCTATTGTTACCACGTCTATCTGAATTCTTCACCTACAAGTACAAACCTAACATTTCCATTTGAAATGAAACATGAAATTTTTGTATATTATATGAATCATAGAACTCGAACTACATTAGGTATTCCAAATTGATGGGTTATGCGTTTACTATAGGGTTCTCGAGTCCTGGATAATTCCTAGCACAATTCAAAATAACCCAATCATTGTTTTAATTTTGAAATTTTCATTGTTTAAAAATTAAACTATTTGTGACAAACGAAACAAAAGCTTTTTTTTTAAAGAAAAAAAAAGAAAAAATTCTCAAACCCCGTCCATCTTGATTTAGAAGAACAATGATATAAATGAGATAATGTGATTTAAAGAGTGAAGAAAATGTCAAGGGAAGTTAATAAAGGATGAAGTTTATGTTATGTTTATCTGTAGATAAGGAAAGAAAGTGTATAAGAGAGATGATAGCTGGGATAATATCACCATGTCTTCGGTAATGTAACACCAAATCATATCAGTTTTAAAGAACACGATGCTATCTGATTTCATTTCAACAATCTTCGTCTCTCTCTTATCATTATCTTAGATGTCTTTTTATCGGGCTTTTGTCTCTGAGAATAGACTTCATGTATGTAATATGCATTATATGTCGTCTAATATTCCACGTAAGAAACAACATAAGATTAAAAAGCAAGACAAAGGAGATTTTAACTTCATCTAAATTCTTTGAAAGTTATATTAACAGTTTGCCATTTTTGAACATATTTATTAAAACAGAACTTACTGGACACTATGGTGTCATTAAATCTAAAATATTACTGGCCCTAATGCAATTTAAATTGATGTTAGAAGAACGACGTAAGATTAAATTGTATGTAAAATCACCCAAATTATGAGCAACGAATCATTCTCTGTCTTTAGCTATATCCTGTCACCAAAGCCGTAATATTGTAACACTATCTTTTCCAAACATATTTAAGTACCATTCTCTGTGTAACTGCAGTGTTTTAATGATAAGAAAAAAGAAAATTAATATTTATAAATAGAAAAGAAAAGTTAAGTGTCACATGTTACAAATACACCTTTCAGGTTTTAGTAAATTAATTATATTTTTATTTAGTGCCTGTTTATAGTTCGTATTGAAAACAATATATATTATTATCAGATTTTATATAAACTTTAAAAATGTAAATCTCAATTTTAAATGACTTACAGGGGTGTGTTATATTTACTTACAATGTAAAAAGAAATAAACATGATTTGAAAATATTCAAAATCCCAAGTAGATCTATATGTGATTATGATAATACCGTAATAATATATAGTTGATGTTAAAAACAAACAGAAAAATAAGAATATGACTAGACATTACATCATGTACATTGCACTTGATATTTGTATACGATATTAAATATCATTTGATTTACTTAACAGCATTAAGCAACTTAGTGATTGGGTTCAACCCATGCAGCTGCAGACAGACAATAATATTACGTACTGTTTTGTCTGCAGAATTAGTTTGCGTATGAAACTGATTGCTAACCTAACTTTCAATACCAGTAATTCCAATAAAAATGTTGAACAAAGTAAAAATCTCATGAGAAAATATAGTAGTGTTTTACTGGGCGGGGGGGGGGGGTGTAAGTTGTAGGTATTATGAGCTAATTAAATTTGATGTGCAGACAAAATTAAACTACAATGAAATTGAAAATAAATAATATATACTAGTAAAACATCTACAACTTCTTTTCTTCATTCATATTATACGTCAATAAAGATTGGGTGTTATAGCATATACAAGTACTTATAAATCGAAATGTCTACTTTTTCATACATAGGCAAATTAATATATCGACAACCTCATGTGACAGGAATGGAATGCACAATTTAGCCAAATTTACAAAGGAATCGAAATGGGGCAAAGTTGCACTGAATTTCTGGTAGCAATCCAAAGTGTTGCTCTTGAAAGACATAAGGAAAGGATATAAACATGTTATGAAACACATTCTTCTTATTATACATCTTTCTTCAAACAATGTTTACAAATTCTTGTATACACGTTCTTTCTTATATTTTTGAACTCCAGCATTTTCAGATTCTTCTTTTTTTCTAATGTTAAGAAATCTAGTTTGCAGATATTCTATTTCTTTGAACAATTTTTATAGCAATGTAAAATATATGTAACTGTCAACAGACACCTACTTTATTTAGTTGTTAATTTTGATCGTAAAGATATTGGCTTATTTGGAGAATGATAGACAAAATTTATGTTCTTTTGACAAAATTTAATGCCATTTTACAGCAACCCGTGATTATTAAACGAAGTTATTGTTTCCGACTAGAATCGATCATTTTGCTTTTTGCTCACCACATAGTTGTTTATTTGACTAAATAGAATTGTATATCATAAAGTTTCTCCAAATAGTGACATTTAACCCCTTAATTATAATTTGAAACAAACTAAAGTACAGTATTTAGATTTGGATTGACAAGTTACCGCAAACCAATAATTTACATGAACATGTACTTAGTGATGTAGAAAAGTTTAATTGACATACAATAAAGAGGTGTTTATGAGAAGAGCAGTCGTTGGATTACGAGAACAATAATATAGAGGAGCCCCACAGCCATGTAATTAAATTGAAATAATGATGATAGTCCTGCAGTTGAACGATAAATGACAATGTTCACTGACATTGTCGTGTGTGGGTCAGGATGTTGCAGATGAAGTTTTACATCATTGACACCCATTCTTCGAAACTGAATATTATATTAACAAATATAATAATATAATAGGGTCCAAATGGTGCACCCTGCGTTATGCCTCGGGCGGATTTATGTAATTATCGATATGACATGAAATATGTTCTATCTGTATATGTTTTTTTATTTATTCTGTAAAAACAATTATCAAAAATGTACATGAGGCTGTAGCAATTGTGTATTTTCAAACTAAAATATTACTTTACAAGTAGTGCATTTCTTAAAAGTTTCTTTCAAAATAAGCAAGGACATTAGAGAGTACCGTATTAATATCCCCTTCATATTCAATAATTGTGTCACTTCCATATTGACAATTCCCCTCAATTTGTGTCTGTTCATTCCTTAGTCGGGCTTAACGTCCGCTTCCACCAATGGTGATATCGCAGACAATCAATTTTAGCATCACCAAACGTTTGATATATGAATAAGACTATCCGTGTTTTGTGCTGTTTACATTTGTCAATGTTCTTCATTTTAAACTAACCACACACCTGTAACTTATAATGGTATGTTGAGATATTTATAATGTTCATTTTCATTATTCAGGTATGTACATAAGCTTGTGTTTTTAATACAATAAAGGTATTTCTATAATTCTACGTTCTGGGGGATATGCTATTATGATAGTTTATTTCCCAAATTTTATCGGTGTGACGTAAGGTTCAATTTTGTTTTACGTTCCTTGACAACACTAAATGGCATTTAATATTAAAACAAAATAATCAGTGAACAATATCTTGTGTTTTGTAAATATAAGTTGTAAACGAAAATTTCCTTGTGAGTGACATGACGATACGTGCACATCACTATCGAAACTGAATCCACACTGAGTCTTAATTTTTACAGCTTATTCATGAAAATTGGACATCAATGACTAATGAAACGAGGACATCGAAAGAAAGATAATGTATTTTGATTTAAAGTCGCTTTGACTAGACTACTGGAAACTTCTTTGTATTTCTGATAGTGTGACTTTGATACCAAGTAAAGCCGTTCTTTGAAAAAAAATCATTCTACAATTCATCTGATACCCTGGCCATCTCTTGTCAATTCCTTTCAAGTTTCATTGCATAAGCACATGAAGTTGTATTACGCGGGTCCCCTATATCTTAAGGCTGTTACTTTACATTGCTCTTAGCTTTTTCACTCTTTTCATAAACGAAAGCTTCGACAAACTGTTGAAATATCGCCTTCGTTCAGTTTTCTCTCTGCATTTATCCTACTCAAACTGTTTACCTAGGGATATACGGGCAAACATGGGTCTGTTTCAAACGAGTTTAAAATCTCAAGGAGGAACCCTAAAAATATTATTTAGAAAATTGACGGAAGACGACAACGACTTTTGTGCAAAGCATCTGTCGGGAAGAGGGTCGGAGGTCAACCACGTGATGGACAGACTTTCACCAACTTCTCGCATCAATCTAAACTATGAAAATTACTTGTATCTACTCACTCGTGTACAAGTATTTTTAAGATGAGAATATATATCTTATTGACATGACAATACCGGCTTACGGGCTGACATGCACCCCTTTTGAATACGAATGAGGGATCTCCATGGTGATCAACTATGACTGACAGCAGTAAGCTCCGCCTTTGAACAATTAGACACACCTCTTTTATAGCGTAGAAATCTACGGCCCACTTTTCACCAATACGATCACCGCTTTACATGTGGAAGGACTTTAGAAGTACTGTCAACCATGCTAACTCTAAAAAAAGTAAAAGTGGACTGAAAGTAAAGGATTTTGTGCAGATTTAGGATTTGGACTTAGACAAGGATACGGTGTTTATCTTAACGTAATCTTCAATAGTGAAAGACTAATACAAGCCTACTCTCTCATCACCAGTGTATGTATATGAAGTTATATATACATGAATGTATATAAAACGGTGTTGTATTCGGGCTAGATATTAGATGACATCAGTTGTTCATAGTATTATTTCCTAACCAGCAACCTGCCTGTTCACGAGAACACGACCCTCGGGTCTTACGCCCGACCCTCCCTTCCTTACAGCCCGTGTGTTGTCACCAGGGAGATCGGCCGAGTACCGGGGGAAGAGATGGTGCATTGTGCTGGGTGTGAACGTCCTATTGCCGATCGCTTTCTACTGAATGTATTAGATCGGGCATGGCATGCTAAATGTGTTCAGTGCTACGATTGTAAATGTAACTTAACAGAAAAGTGTTTTTACCGAGAAGGAAAATTATACTGTCGACTAGATTTCTTCAGGTAGGTGTTAAAATTGTATAAATATAAAACTTGTCGACGCCTACACTTTTAGATTACTAATGATCAGTATGAGTTTCTAACAATGTCAGTTTTATCACGTCACTATTATCTTAAAATCTTTATTAAAAGATATAAACTAATATTTCCTTATCTTTTCAACACATTATTCAATACTTATTTCAAATGCGTAAATATCATAATTTTATTAACATATGTAATATGTTTCTTTTATATGTTTATCTTGAATGTTATCTTCATGTAAACAAAGCACGGTGCTGCGGCATCTCTGGGAATTAAAATCAAAATTTATAACCATCTATATAATTTCACACGTATTAATCGCTTAGAATTAAAATCGTTGATGAAAAACATCATAAATGATTAAGTTTTATATTTGCCATGCATAATTTAATCATCATCGTTTTCTGATTAATTAGATAAACGTATACATATACCAATTAAAGGGGCATTACGCTTATAATTTAAAGACAATTTTAATCAAATGGATACTAGAATGGATCTTTTATATCATTTTTTTACCAAGTTAAAATTTAGGAATAACTTAAACTTTTGATAATAAAATATAATGTGCGTAATATCCATTTTATGTTCCGCTGGGCATTCATTATTTTCTTTGGGTGTTTTCTTTCATGATATGAAAATGTAAAACATTATTTCGGTGCTATGACTGTGTATGACTTGTCATTTGCTTTTTTCCCCTTTTCTTTTCTATAAATTTTTAATATTTCTATTTGTAATATCTCACTACAATAGGGGTATCAAATATACAAACGGATGCTCTGTCGAGAATACATTTCTCAAAATTAATGATATGTGAACGGTAATCTCTATTCGAAAATCTACACGTTTCAAAGTCATTGAAGCGAAAATGAAGAATATTCCTGTTATTTCACGTAAACTCAAATAATCTATTAAAAACTACTCGTGTGCAATATTTTTTATGTATTTATCTGATTTTTCGTGTCGTTAAAATCTGTTGTCCGACATGCTTCGATGAATAATGTTTTTGAAATAATCTCTCCTCGCGTCTTAATTACAACTTTATCAAACAAACGATGGAAAGAAAAAGACTCATCAATTATTAACACTAGTTTTTATTATTGCTTAATACAATAGTCTCTATAGTTTAAAGTCGCCATTCTTAATCAACACAATTAACTATTAATACAAGATTTGTATGATCAATTGACGCAATAAAACAAAAACTGATGTTATAATTATTGACTAAGTTATCGATCAGAGTCTTTATGCATTTATTATTCAAATAAAATCCTTATAATTCGCGAAACAATTCTTACTTAAAGAAATGCATAAAAGAAAACTTCATAATAGTTTAGCTCTTAATAATTATTGTCGATGAACCCATAAGAAGTAAATACTAAAAAAATTCTACAAAATTTCTGAGATTTATTTTGGATTCGAGAACATAGATTTATTTTACTTCAAGCACAGAACAGATAAATCTTTTTTATTCTTAATTTAAGGATGTCGAAATAAAAAGTGTACATTGTATATCTTTTTTGTTTATACCATTTCGATTTGTGATAATTGCGACATGTTGAAATGTTTTTACAGGAGATACGGAACGAAATGCGCCGGTTGTTCGCATGGTATTTCTCCGAATGATTTAGTGCGACGGGCCAGAAACAAAGTTTTTCATTTAAAGTGCTTCACTTGTATGGTATGTAGAAAACAGCTGTCTACTGGGGAAGAATTGTATATTCTGGACGAAAACAAGTTCATATGTAAAGAAGATTACATAAACAGTAAATTTGCGGGTGAGTATTTTTTGACTTGTTAAATCTCAGAGGGTGGAAATTCATGTTTAAAAGAAGATATACAAAATTCTTTGCACGAGTTCGAACAAAAATTGCTTGAAGCTAAAGAAGAATATTTCAAACAGAAGAATGAAAATATCAATCTGAAAACGCAAATTCTAAAAATTAACACACATAGTTTTATAATGGGAATATATACCAATATTTGAGTTCAAGTAATATTATACAAGTATAAATTTTATTTATTAGAGAATATAACTAAACTAGAACTACGCCCATTTACAGAGACAATATAATGACACAACAAATATTGAAATAATGAACATCACACCAGCAAATTATTCGTAATAGCATTACTTATCATTTTAGCACATGATGTGTTATTGCCTAGTGTTTAAAACGATATTGCATTACCGTCTAAACACATAGGTAAACGAACGAAAAATACGCTTTCACATGTATATATACTGAAAAGGCGTCAATTACCATTGAAAGATTTTATCGCATGTTAAATAATTAAATATAATATTACATGCATCATTTAACAATTAACAGAGTGTAGAGAAATACACGATATCATCTCAAAATAATTTTCTGCTTTAAAGATTAATTTTATACAGTTTTAAATACTTAAAGAGACACCCCACAGAATAGTATATTATGGAAGGAAATAATGATCATGGTATTCCAGAGTTTAGATCAATTAAAACGACGACCATAAATATTAGCACATATAGTAAGATACAAGAGCGATTTGCAAGGTTCACCAATTGCTATAATATATGAGATAATTGATTCGAGCCTAAACATCAATTAAAGGACCCAAAAGGTGTAATTAACATTAAAAAGTGAAATTGAAATTAAAAGGTAAAAGAACTAGATTGCTATACTGATTAATAAATTTTGTTATTTATTCCGCAGACACCCTAAAACTAAAATCGCCGTATTAAGAGTATTTGTAGAATATTCTTTTATTAAAATAAACTAGAGATCTAATCACGACCATAGATCCACATACCAATCATACCTTTAAATTACTGATTTAAAAACAAAGATAAACAAAATGAAAATACTAGAAAAACACTAACACATGACAAATAAAGAGCATTTACTATACGAATGTCATCACAGTCGGAAAAGAGATATATCAGTGGTAACTAAATATTATTATTGACGTATGAATAACTAATCAAGTAATTGAATAAGCATATATAATAAGAACAAATAGATCTCTATATTTAGACTACGTTTTGGATAACAAATCATAACAAAGGGGTTTAATATAAAACCACGTAAAGCTATATAATACTTATAACAAGACAATAGCTTTATATTCAAATTTCATTGTTCTTTCATAAATATATTTGCAAGTCGACGGGAGAGCGGATTTTTTTCACAACTGAGACGTAAAACTTGTGACTTGTAATCAATAGTACTCAATGTTTCTGCTAGAAACTTGCAAATCCATCGAACCATACATACATGTAACGCTTGGCATCGCATGTTGGGACGCTGTGTTTTTCTCAAGAAAAATTCGATAGACGATCGAAGAGCGGTCGTTCTAGCTTTTACTCCCAACTCGGTTGTATGTGTTGTTGAAACCGAAAACTAGCCGATATCCCAAGAATTATTGTGAGTCAGGTCTTCGAACTTGAGTTGTAGTGGACCCCACCACGATAGCTATTCTCTTGGTGACAGTGTCCATCGACCCAATATGTTAGAACTGAAGTGGACTTCACAATACCAAACACTTAAACTGTTCCACACGTACAATGATCGTAACATGTACAATAGGTGGACAGGTTCGAGAAAGGTCTCCCTTCTTCATGTTCTCAATACTCCTACACTCAAAAATAGATTTCCTATATTTTGTAACCTCTCGTGGCCCCCTTCTAAAAAATTGCAACAACGATCAAGCTCCAAAATCGTAAAACTCGAACTGTCCATGAATATCGTGACGACCATGATTTTTGACTATTCGCATGGTTGAAAGTACATAACCATATTAATACAAACATACATTTATTAGTCGTAATGGGTTTTGAATAGACAAGCCATTTTAATAGACATACATACTCAAAATAACCTTGCTGCAGATCATAAAATATTTTGGGGGACCGAGAAAGTCATAAAAGAAAATGTCGTTTTTAATTACCATGTTTTGGGTTTTATTGTATATTATATTAATGGTTGTTCTGTATATATGGGCCTCGTAAACATATTAAAGACGCACAGAACCTCAAGGAGATGAAAGTTATTTCTAAAGCAGACTATAATTTTTGCACAAAGATCCTTTCAAAGTGAACCGTGGGTGCATTTTCAGTTTCTTCCGCAGTTTAGTTCATAAAAGACGCAGGCTGCGAAACATGTAAAAAAAACAAAGAGTTTGAAATTCAAAAGAAATAATAGATAGAATTTTGTATCTAGATATAAAAAAATCATTTGAATATTTAATTCATAAATATAATTAGTTTTACATAAAACAGTCGAAGTATTGGGATGTTAAATAATTTCAAACTTACTTGATTTATCCGCAATGTTTTAAGAAAAGGATCTTCATGATATTTAAGAATGCAAACTTTAGTGGTAAAGAACCAAACATTCTTGAAATACATAAAAATCAAAAAGTTTAAACGTTCAGGTTTGGACCCGATTACACTTATAAAACCAGTAATAATTGACCCAAGAGTTAAATGTGAAACTCTTTTATCCCACTCCGACCGACGCCTTGTAGTTTTTATATACCCCGACCAAAGCAATAAAAATTTTCCAATATGTGGCCCACCGTACATAAATGGTTCATAAATAGGTCTCAGCACACTAGTACCAATAGAATAAAGATAATGGCAAAGATAAATAATATTTAATATCCATCTAATGTTGTACAACTGAGTACATAATTTGAATGTATTTGTCAGACACGAAGAATTGTAATTATAGGATTGAACAAAATTCAGAAATAACCTCCAATAACCAAATTAGAAAAAAAAGAATCGTGTTTGTTCAGAAAGATTGTTTTTCCAGAAATACTTAAAACTGGACAAATAAAACTCATAAATTTCTGCAAAACTGATCTCAACGTTAAGATTAACAATTCGCGAACATATTCGTCTTTCGTTTACACAATACAACAGAACTATGTGTAGATTTTCAAATAAACCTGCCCAGGCTTTTCTGTACCCCCACAGGCTAATGCTAAATTTCGTGTGTGGTCTACAGCAGTTTTAAACCCGGAGATGTAAAACCAAATCAAGATAATATAATTATAAACGGCTTGGATATGATAACTGTGGGATAATATACATTTACACACACCATATACATGTTTCTTATGGTAATAAAAATTAGAATATGGATATTGATATAGTTTTACGGAGGGGTATTAAAAAATGAAACAAAGTCCCTTTCTGCTGAAACTATGGCAATGGTGAAAAAGAGAGCCAGTTTCGATAATCACAGCACGAAATGTGGAATAATCCTGAACAGTTTTGTGATTCTACTTCTAGATTTGTTTGTAGTATGAAAACCTCTATGTGTGGTTTCTGTGTGCGTTTCTAGCAGTTAAGACAATTTGTAAAATAAAAAAAAATAGAAATAAAATGGCCATTCAAAGGTGGTGTCATTAACCATGTTCCCTTTGGATCTTGCACCAAAGAAATTTTATACGAAAAACAAATTAGTCTTAACCAAATTGCAAATTCAAAAGAAGAAGAGACTATAGATATAAAATAAGTTCGGTTACCATGTTACCGAAAAACAACATTGGGCTTTTTTTAAAAGATTTAATGACATTAAATACAAAAGACATCCATACGTCATGTTCTATATTATATACCATGATAGCAAACGATACAAATCACCTACTGTTTTGTACTTAAAAGAAAATCCGTTCACATAAGACTTTAGTTACCGTCGATTGTTTTTGATCATATAGTTGCAATGACAGCAGATTTAAAGAGTCTTTATTAGAAATAACAAAAAATTCTATATATTCCATATATCTCAGACATATCCTTGTTGAAAATATTTTACATCTTTTGAAGGATGTAAACTTCATTAATAATTTCCGTTCGCCATTTTAGAAAGCTCTTTGACGCTAGACATATTTACAGCATGGAATGTAGTTTTCTACGCGTACCTTTCAATTCCAATTATGTCAATTTTTACACACATAAAGATGAAAGACAAACGAACAGCCGTGTGTGGTCAGCGTTCAAGACACAAAATAAAGTCTAATTTTTCGACAAACTACTCGTAGCAAACCCTCACTGTTGAGAGATAAAGTACTAAACCATTTTATAACTCTCCCCCTAGTATGTTTGCACTCAAGTTCTTACGTTCGAACGAACGACGAGCGAAACGGACGAGCAGTGGGCGGCCAACATCAAACGGCAGATTTGTCTTACCGCTCTACCTGTACTGGCGGTCACTTTTTATACGCGCCTATAAATTTTTACAGTTTTTGTACCCGCGTAGTTCCTTTGTCCATGTGTGTGCCTCAAACAGCATTACAAAAAATTAAAATCGTTTAAATGGTTATTTTATATAATAGTAAAACAGGTGTTAGGTATTTACTCCCCATTTCTGTTATTTTGATTGTCAAATTGTATAACGCGAAGGAAAATCGAATTACGCTATATACCATTTCTTCTAATTATATTGGACTCGTTCAAGCAAAATACCTTTTCAATCAAAATCTGAATCTGCGATTTTAATATTTAATATAGTAAAATACGATATTTTACGGATTGCAAATACATGTAGTTGAATGATATAGGGGGTCATTCTTAAAACAATAATTCCCATTTGCGTAATATAGCGAAATTCGCATATATTTATTAACTATTATGTCTACGTTTACTCCCGGTTCTAAAGTAAAATGGAAGTACGAAATATCTTGTAAATTCTTCAATTTAGAATCATGTTACAAAAACGACTGCAAAAATAATGGAAGTTATGAAAAAAGCATCATATTTTAAGTATTTTAATCTGCGAATCTG